ATTGCGCAGGACAAGATTTTCCAAACTATAGCACAGGACAATGACAGAGCAAGTGACAGCAACTCAGAGGGGGACGTACTGGATTTCCTGCAAGTAGGGAGAGATGGGTACCCAGATTACTAACTGAGAAAACAAATGATACAATTTCTACCCTGAAATCACATCTTACCGATGACAGAGTTTAAAATGACATTGTTTCTAAGGCCATGCTTGTGTGTCCAATGTGTGGGTGCCCCAAGGGACAGATAGGAATTTATATAGCCCCGTGCCAAATGTGGGTTCCGAACCCTAATGTAGTGGGGACAGTGGCGTTATCATCAAGACCAACTGCAGTTAGAGACACATCAGCGCTGGAGGAAGAAAAAGGATAAAATTATTCTTGAGTTTAGAAAATCTCTTTAACAGGTCTTTTTGGCAATGAAATGTAAGGTCCATCCTCCCTTGTGCACACTCCCTGGGGCATAACCCAGTGGGAGAAACCTTGATCAAGGACTTAAATTGTTCTGCAGAGAGAGGTCATGAGGATGTGGAAGTCGGCTATGGCATAGGGCGATGGGAGCCTGGAAGAAGAGAAGAGAATGCCCTTTGGCGTAGACATGTGCCAAAGTGCGCTTTTCCAGTGCGAGGGGTTCAGGTAAAATCGAGCCCTTACTTCACCCTTCCTGGGGCATACAAAGGACAGCACGGCAGCTGTAAGGACAACAACAGCAAAAAAATGTTTAGGTTTTTGCTATAGACCGTGTGTGCTCACCAGAGTGGAGAGACAGACAGAGGGAAAGGGAGAATCACTCCCCAAGGGGCATGGCCATGCCGTAACCCCTTCTCCCACCGTTCTCCTCCTAGGATTTGTGGCACATACGCACACATGCCTGGAGTGACTCAAACCACTAGGTCAAGGACTCAAATCGCGGTCAACATATGGGAATCCAGCTGCCCAACCACTGTGTCACCTGCTGGCCCAAACAATAACATAATTTAATTCTTTTTTTTTGGGAAAGAGACCTCCCTCCTTGCTTTTCTTACAGCATTTGCTTTAGAAATCTTGTGAGTTCTAGGGGCCAGCAGCTGGTGTAATGGCTATGTGGTTAGACTCCCATGTAGTTGACTGCAGTTCCAGTCCCAGACTGGGTGGCTTAAACTCACAGTGGGCACATGTGCGTGCATGCCAAAGATCCCAAGAGGAAAATGGAGGAGAAGGAGTTGTGGTGTGGCCATCCCCCCTGGGGGGTGATTTCTTGCTTTCTGTCTCTGTCTTCCTTGCAATCACACATGCCCTATAGCAAAAACCTCTCAAAAAAAAAAAAAAAAAAAAGAAATCTTGTGAGTTCTTTTCTCTCTTTGCAATGTGTATAAATCTTTTCAAAAGCTACAAGAGCCTTTTTGCCAGCTTTCTTACACAGGAATGTCTTTCTCAAGGACCTGGGAACTGTCTCTGGATACGGAAACACCAAGGGAGATAGAGCTGCCATCTCCCAGTGCTGTGGGAGGGGAGGAGGCTAACTTACGAGGGCACTTGGCCAAGCTGCCAAACTATCTCCCGTCAAAAAGATACGAGAAGTTTGTTTATCTGATTAAGCTAATCGCCTAACATGGATGTCACCCCAAACACCAAATGAATCTGGGACGTGTGACAAATGGTGCTGTCAAATCCTCTTACTTGAGGACTAGTTGGTGTTTATCTTGAGAGCATGCTCGGAGTGGGCTGTTCGCCTGGCTGTAAGGATCGCCCTCTGTCTCTGCCATTTCTCAGCAATTGCCTGGGATGTGCATCACTATCTCATTCAGTAAGAACGGTCTTCTTTATTACCTTTGTGGAGAGGTTTTCTGGGTTGGGAGATTTTTGCTTTTAATTATATTCTCTCAACCTAGTGTATGTGCTTAAAAAGGAAAAGAAAATGCGGGAGGGAGGGCAAGGGAAGAGTGAGAGCCCTGATGGGAGGTTAGGGTATGTAGAGGGACACGGAGAAACAGTAGTGGTGAGGGATAGCAGAGGAATTTCTAGGAGTGATGCTGACATTCAATGGTAAGTAAGAATAGCAACTGGGACCAGCAGTTAGTGTAATGGCTATGTCGCTGAACTCCCATGTACTCAACCGCGGTTCAAATCCTGGACCCAGTGGCTTAAACTCACACCAGCTACGTGTGCGTGCATGCCCAAGATCCCGAGAGAAGAATGGAGGAGAAGGGATTGCGGTGTGGCCATCCCCCTTGGGGGGTGATTTCTCGCTTTCTGTCTCTCTGTCTCTCTGGCAAGCGCACACACCCTATAGCAAAAACCTCTCAAAAAAAAAAAAAAAAAAAAAAAAGAATAGCAACTAATAATGGGGCCAGTGGGTGGTGTGGTGGTTAAGGTGTTGGACTCCTACATGGTCAACTATGGTTCAATCCCTAGACATGTGTGCACATTTGAAAATCCCAAGAGGAGAATGGAGGAAAAGGGATTGCAGAGTGGCAATCCTCCTGGGAGGAAGAGTGATTTCTCACTTTTTCTCTCTCTGTTTCTCTCTGGCAAGTGCACATGCTCTATGGAAAAACCTAAAAAATAATAATAGTAGTAATAATAGCTGCTAACACTCAGGAGGACTAAGTGCTGCATTGTTCTAAGTATTTAGACATATTAATTCATTTTGCATATGAAGTAGCTCAGGTTCCTTTTTTGTTTTTGTTTTTGTTATGCTAGAGGGCACATGTCCTTGCCAAAGAGAGACAGAGAGAGAAGAAAGCACCCTACATGGGAAGTGGCCACGCTGCAATCCCTTCTCCTCCATCTCTCCCTCTTTTCAGGATTTTGAACACACATGCTCAGTGTTTCTCAAGCCACTGCGTCCAGGACTCAACCACATAGTCGGTCGTGTGGGATCCAGCTCCTTACCCATTAGGCCATAAAGTCAACCCAGAATTATTTTTCTTAATTATGCATTCTTTTTCTCTCTGCATGTGACCTCACAGTACACTACAAGGGGCAGATAAGGAGTCACAAAACAACAGAGAAGCAGGTGGAAGTAGGGGCTGATTTTGGAGGTAGACAGGAAACAATATCTCTTCTATGGGGAAAAGTGACTCACAAAGTGTGTGTGCCGGGTCCTGTATTATATAGGGTGAGAATGTGAGCTATTTTATTTGGATATTACAGAATGAGGTGGCTCCAGAAAACTGGAAGAACTAGGGCCTGGCAAAGGCAGACACGTGGTCCCCAGCACAGAGGTTGTGGCCAAAGTAGGGCTAGAGAGGTGTGGCACCCAGGAAGGATCAGACACTTCCGCCAGGTTCAGAACTGGAACGCCTTACCTGTCCCTACCAACAATCTGCTCACACAGACATTTTTGAGGTCTGGCTCAAGAAAGCAGATTTACCCTGCCTGACCTAGCCCTGTCTACCAGACACGTCCACTATAAGCCAAATGTATATAATGACCTGGAAGAAGTTCTAGATAGGCACCCAGGCTGCAGGGTTCATCTGATTGACTCTTGGGTGGGCAATGAAGCCTGAGCCCCAAAGCATCATCCTTCTAGCACAGACAAGGTCGCTGACCAGCACTGACTCATCGCTGTTCCCAGGTGTCTACCCTGAGACCCGCAAAGGACCAGGAAATCGATAAACATGAACCTAAGGGACCAGCAATTGGCGTAATGGCTATGTCGCTGGACTCCCACGTAGTCAACCGCAGTTCGAGTCCCGGACCCGGTGACTTAAACTCACACCGGGTACATGTACATGTGTGCCTGAGATCCCGATAGGAGAATGGAGGAGAAGGGATTGCGGTGTGGTCATCTGCCCTGGGGGGGGGTGATTTCTCACTTTCTGTCTCTCTGTCTTTCCAGAGAGCACACGTGCCCTATAGCAAAAACCTCTCAAACAAACAAAAACATGAATCTGAACTTCTGAAGGGGAAGAAGCTGTGCCTACCTGGAATGGACAAAGTTCACAGAGCTGACCACATATGCTGGGTCCCTAAGTGATTCCACACTGTATTCCAACACTCAACTGCTCTCCCTAATCCCTAATATTTTCCAGTTCACTGTGGAGGTTGGAGGGTAAAAAGGCTTTCATGGCCCTGCCTCCGGCCATTCTCCAAATGTCTGGTCCATGGTATTTGGTTACTTGGGATTTTTTTTTTTAAAAATGACTTATTTAATTTTATTTATTCATTCATGTTAATTTGATGAGAGACAGAGAGAAAGCCAGAAAGTAAAACACCAGGTCCAGAACTCGAACCACAGTCAGCCAAGTGGGAGCGTCCAGCACCTTAGCCGGCAGGCCACCTGCTGGCCTGGATTACTTGGGATTCTAATGTCCTGTTTGAAACAAGGTTTTGTGTTTTATTGAAACTTTGGGGGGAGGATGAGTAGAGGAGCAAGTCTTGGGCTGTTACTTTCCTAGTTCTAGATAGCCTGGGGAAGCCCAGGTCATGGAATTCCACACAGGGCCCAAAGGCGGTAGAGACCAGACACCAGAGGACTTACTGGGCCCCACCGGGTCTAGCGCAGAGCTGCCCCTGGCGCTGGGCCCATTCCCCAGCGCTCAGCGCGACCACGGTGGCCTTCCCCAGATGCCAGCCCAGAAAAGGAGAGGCCTTCCCAACCCTTTGGAACAGGGACACACCTCCTCCTCCTTTCTCCCCCCGCACACCTGGAGACCTCAGGAAGTACCCTCACCCTTGCTCACTCCAACTCGGAGCCTGCTGTGCCCAGGCCTTCTGGAGGATCCAAAAAAGTGCCACCGCACCCACCCCTCGGCCTCATCCAGACCAGGCCCGGCCCGTCTCTCTCCTCCCGCACCTGTGCTCGGACTGGAGCCACAGCCCCTCCCCACAGCCTGCTCTGGGGCTCAGGCTCAGCTCCACTGCTCGCAGGTTTAGGCTAGTCTGGGGCGGGGACAGGGGAGCGCCTAAGTTTAGAGGGCGGGGATGCACATCCATTTTTAAAAGGCTCAGAACTGACCCTGAGGCGCCAGCGGCCTTGGGCGGTGCCAGGAATCGCGCAGGTCCGGGACCCGCTCGCCTCGACTCCCGCGGATGCCATGGTCCGCTACCGCATCCGCGTGTCCACCGGGGCCTGGCTCTTCTCCAGGTCGTTCAACCGCGTGCAGCTGTGGCTGGTCGGGGAGTGCGGGGAGGCAGAGCTGGAGCTGCAGCTGTGTCCCGCACGCGGCGAGGTCAGCAAGTGGGAGCTGGGACCGCCTCGGACCACCCTGGGCTCGTCGCGGGGGAGGTGGCGAGGAGCACGGCCCGGGTGTGCGGTGACAGCGCAACTCGCTGACTGGGACTTCCCGGGAGTAGGGAAGCTGGGTGGGTTAGGGAGGAGGGAGAGGTCAGGGACAAGGTCTGAAGCGAGGATCTGGCTGAGCTTACACCCCTTCTCCTGACCCTGGTCCTCGCAGCCTCCATCTCCTCCAAAGGACCCCAGAGCCAGGGTAATATGACCAGCGGTCACAGAGCTCCTCCGAGGGCGAGGGCGCGGGCGCGGGGTGGGGAGCGCAGTTCCCGGGATCGACAGGGGCGTTAACGCGCAATCACCAACTCAAGCCAGCTGGGCTGGAGCGGTCCCTGGTCCCCCGCTGAGATAAGGTGTCTGAGACCTGCCGCGCAGGCTGTGAGGGGAGGACACGAGGCGATGTGGAGTTGGAAGGGCTGGATCAACTGAGGCTACACAAAGGGCCCGCTCCTTTTCGTCTCTCTCCTATCCCGTAGCCCCCAGCAAAGTCGCCTCTCCAGAGTCCCTGCTACTAAGTCTGGCCCGGTCTGGTCCCACAGGAGGAGTTTGATCACGACGTCCCCGAGGACTTGGGGCCACTGCAGTTCGTCAAGTTGCGCAAACACCGCTGGCTGCTGGACGACGCGTGGTTCTGCGACCGCATCACCGTGCAGGGCCCGGGCGCCTGCGCGGAGGCGGCCTTCCCGTGCTACCGCTGGGTGCAGGGCGAGGATGTCCTGAGCCTGCCAGAAGGCACCGGTGAGGGCGCAGCGTCGGGGATTTGGGGCATAACGTGGAGGGCTAGGAATGAGACCCGTGAGATAGGGATTGAGAGAAAGAATGGGCATGCTTAAGTTTAAATGTACGGATCTCAGAATGCAAGGCAGGTCACTGAAAGTTATAAATTCCTAAGTTATATACAGAGTTAGTGAGGCTGGGAAATGTCGCTGCAAACAGGGAATAGAGATCTGGGGACGGGGCCAGCAGGTGGCATAGTGTTTAAGGGCTGGACTCCCACGTAGTCGACCATGATTGGAATCAGGGCCTCAGCGGCTTGAAACACTGGGAGCGGGCGGGTAGGAGAAAAGTAAGAAGGGACTGCAGCATGGCTATCCCGAGGGATGAGTTCTCCCTTTCTATCTTTCCCCGGATATAACGCACAAGCCCTGGGGTGGGGGGGGAGGAGAACCGCAACTCTCAAAATTAAAGATATCTGGAGATGAAGACAAGGAGTAAAAATTGCAGCAATGAAGGAAAACACAAAAGTAAAGGTACAAAGATTTGTGTGGTTGGGACAAGCAGTTGGTGTAATGGCTATGTCGCTGGACTCCCACGTGGTCAACTGTGGTTCGAGTCCCGGACCCAGTGGCTTAAACTCACACTGGGCACGTCTGTGTGCGTGCCCAAGATCCCAAGAGGAGAGTGGAGAAGGAATTGTGGCATGGCCATCCCCCCAGGGGGTGATTTCCCGCTTTCTGTCTCTCT